GCAGCGAATCTGATCCCATCCTGCAGGGCCTGGATCTCCTGATCCATGGGTAACACAATTATTCTACACTTCCTCCTAATCCCACATGTCTCTGGGTCCTCACCGCAGCTTTGCCCACACCATAGGGGACATTGAAGAGGTACTGCAGACCCCCAGTGGAGGAGATGACCACGATGAGTCCCCGGCGAGCTGGTACCATCAGACGTGCCCCATACACTGAGCATAAGTAGTGGCCTCTGGAAGATGGGGTAGGGGAAGGAAGAGGAATTCCAGATCAGAGCTGGCCTGGGCACTGCAGGCCATCAGAAAGGTCAGTATCCCCTAGTGGCAGTGATGGAAGGAAGGCTGCAGATCTAGGAGATCAGGGGTTAATGGGCCGTTCTTAAAGGAAAACAGGTCAAACTCATCCAATGACAGAAATGGAAATATTTAGAAGATCTAATGGAATAAAATTTACAGTAACAATTATAAACATAAAATATCATGGAGGGGAGTCTGAGAAACTTTTAACATACATAAAGAAAATATTATTCTGTCTAATGTAAAAGCACAAGTACAGACAGAAAATGAAGATAAGAATGAACATATAAAAATAAATTCTAATGAAGTCAATGGGGAATGTTGGATCATTCAATAAGTAGATTTAGGAGAGCTGGCTAGCTACAGATGGTAGTGAGACAATGACTACTATAGTGGAGTTGTTGATTTTTCTGTTCCAGCGTATTGAGTTGATTCATGAATTTAGGTATTAACTTTGGGTATAAAGATATTAATTATCTAGTCAGAACCAACTTTCAGAGGCTGTAAATAGCACATATTGTCCACCATTTTCCCTCAGAGCAGCTAGTGGATTTGAACCACCTGCCTTTGAGTCCATTAGGCCACCAGAGCACCAGCAATAATAATAGGAGACCTAAAAAAATCACCACAGCAGTCCGAAAACCTGAAAGCACAAAAGTACTAAAAGAAAACACATGGGTATGAAAGATTGAAAACCCAATATGATTTATAAAGTTTCATTCAAAAGAAAACAATAATACAAACCCAGCCAAGATATTGATATAACATCCATGGATGGCAATTACAAATTGAATTGTGTCTCCAAAAATAAATAAGTGAAAGGAGAAATGGGTGAAGATGTTTATAAACTTGGAGCTTTTCTTAGTTTTATAATAACAGAAACTATAAAAGATTGACAGATATGTGTTCTTAAAACTAATATATATGCATATGTAATGTACATACATACTGTTATGGACTAAACTGCAACATTCACTAGATTGTGATTCTCAGAATTGTGTAATCATCCTCTACTTTGTGATCTGATGTAATTATCCTATGTATTGTAAATCCTAACTTGTATGGTATGATGGATCTCTAGTGGAATAGTGTTGGGCTCCCAACTGGAAGGTCAGTTATTCAGACCCACCAGCTGTTCCAAAGAGAAAGATGAGCCGACTTCTCTTATAAGGATTTACAGCTTCCGAAACCTGAGGGAGATCTGCCATGCAATAATTGGAATAGACTCAGTGGGAATGGGTTTGGGTTTTGGTTTGGTATAGTATTAATGAGGCAGGAGTAACATTAGGCAGTTATGTTAAAAGAGGCAGGATATAAACTATAGGATTGGGTTGTATTTTTAATCAATCTTTTTTTTTTTCTGGTGTGCCCAAGTTTATTGAAAATATTAGAGCACAGCAGACAGACTCAAACGGCTCCGGCTCAAGTGGTGTTTTGAAATTCACCCCAACTGTGGGCTGAGTGACCTGCAGGTTGGACAGACTGGCAAAGTCCAAGAGTTTCAGCATTTCCTTAGTATCAGGATCTACTTCAATGATCTCCTGATCCAGGGCTGAAACCTCTGGTACATAATTATCACTCCTTTCTCTCTCCTCCTCCTGTAGCTTAGTGGAGATGCCTCTCATAGGCCCTCTCTGAATCTGCTTCATCGGATGTGTGACACAGCCTGCTATTTTGTTCTGGAGTTTCTTGCTGGGAATAAAGGCAATCTCCTCACACACGCGCTTGTTCATGTGGAAGTCATTACCCAGGCACATGTAGTATTTCTCAATGATGACCCGGGCCACCTTCTTCACAGTTTTGGTGCTAATGCGGCCCATGTTAGTGGGACGTTGGTGAAAGAGAACAATCAATCTCTTTTGACATATTAAATAGTCCAATTGCTACAAATATGGGTTACACAAATTATGCTACATTCTCCCAGTAGACTAGTTTGGGGGTATTAAAAAGAATGCGAGGAAAAAAATGAGAAAAGAAAAAGAATGAAAGCCATTTATGTGAAAATATGTACCAGACTATTAATATTAGCTATACAAAGGGAAAGAGAAAGGAATGATAATAAGATAAATAATATTATATAGGCCTTTAACCAAGAGACTTACAAAGAGGCCTTTACATTGCATAATGCATCAGTCTGAGCCTCTATGTAATGGGTTCTGACCAGGAAGAAATGGAGGAATGGAAGACATCCATCTTAGGAGGGTTATGGATATCTTACTGACATCAAGTTGGAACTAACTCAGTTTACCATATAAATCTCATGGGAGAAGACTGCTCATGTTTCTCCCTCAGAGCAGCTGGTAGACTCAAACTGCCAACAAACACCACCTTTGGGTTAGGAGTGCAACTCCCTACAAACTATGTCACCAGAGCTTCTTGTTATGAACATGGGCGCTGCCACTTTCCAACTCTTTGAGTCTACTTTCTTGTCTCTAGGCTGTTCTCACAATCTCTTCCACTTTGAAATTCACTATCACATCCTATTCTTACTTTTTCAGATGGCTCACAGAGTATCATAACTGGAGCAACAGGTGTTTTAAACACTTTGAACAAACACTTCTTGATAATCTCTTGGTTACTCCCACATCCACTGAGTAAATTTTACTAGCCAAGGGAGTAACATCATCCTAACAATAATAAACAGTGAAATAATCAAACCAAAATGAGTTTCTATTGAGTTAATTCCAACTCCCATA